AATATATGGAGAGAGAAAAAGTAAAGACTTATTTTAGGTGCTGTAGAAAATTTGCTTCGTACAGCCACTTTTTTCTATTTTTTTGTGTTTTGGCTGTGAGTATTAGAAAATGAAAGAAAGCTTGATTAGTGTAAGTAAATGGCTGTAGACAAAATTTTGGCTGTCCACAGACTCTACAGCCACAAACAATTATTTATGAATTACTTTTCTAAATAGTACTCTTTAGTTTGATTGTCTTAAAGTGTATTAAAAATATCATTTAATTCATATTTATTTATAATAAATGAAAATAATTTTAAATACATAACAAAAAGGTTAAGTATAATAAATGAATATTAACAATTATATATACAAAACACTGAAGATGTATTAAAATTTATGAAAGCAATAGTAAGTAACCAAACTTTTTAATTTATGGAGAAGTGTTTAGGTTGTCATATATTTGTTTAGGAAGATATCACATTTATCTCCATGAATCTGACATGAACCATCTCTCCATGGTTTTTCGAACTCACCTCTCTCTCTTTCGTTCGATCTCACGAAATTGAATCTGACTAGTTTGGATGTTTGCGTTAATCAACTTCGTGGGAAAGTGCCACAATTTAGGAACATAGTTGTAGACACAAAAGGGAATCCAAACATCGAGACCAACTGCATTCTTATTCCTTCGCCAACAAGGAACAAGAACAAATCAACTGTTGTGGTACTTGTTGAACCCGAACCCCCCAGGGTTGGTAACATCATGTAAAAGATGGGACAAAGTTCTCATAAGACAAGCACAAAGATGGGTTGAATAGATCGTATAAATTTGTGGAGAAAATAATATAGATTTTGTTATAGGTGGAATCGAGAGACGAGCTGCCTACGTACCTGAAGCGGGATCAAGCCAAAACGTAATTCGATTACAACAAAGAGAATGTATTTAGTCATTATTAGGAATGACATTGTTTGTGTCTAAATAATGGTGAGAAATGTAGAAGATGAATCTTGTGTAGAAGAATCTCCATCCCTTTCTTGGAGTCTTCACTTCTCTTTTATAGCCTCTTCATTCCTTCTAGGGTGTCTTTACTTGGCCATTAAATTCAGAATTAACTCCAAAAAATAACTCCAATTTTTGGCAATTAACTCCTAATCTTGAATGACAAACTTTATTCCTTTGACAATGGCAATTAATTCATGAATTTAATCACAAACTAATGTCAAGGTTTGACCACCCCCTTTTGCAAGATAAGGCTCCTTGGATTTTGTAAAGTGATGGTTCTCCAATATGTAAAATGGACCCCTTGCGGGATCCGGTACCAACAGTACTTCTCTTAAGCATTGTGGTTGGATTGGTGCTTGCTGGAGGAGGAGCTTTTAGATTCTACCTGATTAAGAAAATGAAGAAATCTAATAGGCTTCCAGAACCAAATGAAACAATGACACATACCCGACAATCTGGTGACAATGCCCTGGAAGCTGAGAGTTATGTGATTACACTTCAGCTTCTCAACGATGCAAACATAAGAATTTTGCTAGAAAAACAAGGTTGGGAAGGTGGGTTTGGACCAGTTTATAGAGTATACCGAAGAATAGAGAAGTAGAGATTGTAGTATAGAAGATGAGGCAATCGATAGGTGGAAAATGTCAGGATGAATTGAAATCCGAGGTATGCGTTTTAACAAAAGTTCATCACCGTAATCTATTATATATATATATCAAATAAAATCAAAAACCTATTTTGTACTTAAACATTTTTGTAATACCAAAATTAACAAAAGCATTGTTGGATTGAAAGTAAAATAAAAATATATAAATACTAACTTACAATTAGAATTTTTGAAACTATGAGGCTACTCTCAAGCGCCTCTACAAAAAAATAAATACCATCTTATCTTAAATTATATATATTACATTTTAAAAAATATATTTACCAACTAAAGCTGAATAGTATTCACAAAATATAATTAAGAATCTTCAACAACAAAGGAATTGTTGGAGTTTTTTAATATATAATATTAATTCAACCTCTGAATTATAAACTTAAGTTGTTTGTATAAATTTATAGTGACTACACATTGGTCAATATGTTATAATTATTGAAATCATTTAAATAATTAAAAGAAAATAAATTAATGAAAAGTATGCAAAAAATTAGCAAAAAATGAGGAAAACATAAGTAAAATATTTTTAAAAACTGACAAATTTTTTTTTACCGATTTAAAGTTGAGATTCTAAACAAATAGAAACCAGAAAAATCCCAAAAAAACATTTATCTATATCTTATTTGGCCATTTAATACTCAAGTTTATTTGGTTTCAATAAAAATCCTGAATTTACATATATTTGGTAGAAAATATTTCATTATTTAATTGTTGGTGGATTTTAACCAGTGACTTAAGGGCGTTATGGAATCATTAACCCCACATGTTTAATTAGATATATACAATATGTTTACATATCTTTAGGAATATATTGGTATAATATAGTGATAAAACATGGAATTTTTACCTCTTAGACCTGGGTTCGATACCCAAATGACCTTTTTTTATTAGTTGTATTATCCTGCTCATTGGCATGGGATGTTTTAGCCTCTTATATATTCTATCATATGGTTTGTCGAATGATTGTATGCTCTTTTTTATTGTAAAAACTGCAAAACTGATAACACACTATGTGAAATCAGATTGTCGAGTTATGTTTCATATTTTGACCTACATGTATGAGTTATTCTGGCTATCCAATTATTATAAACCATAGCGACCTGATGTCATTAGTAGGTTGTCTAGATAGCCAAGAAGATGGATTGGCCACAACTTGTCCCTGGGACTCCCGCGTACATGGCCAATTTTTTCATAAGACCACGTTCACCATACCCATTGAGAACGTTGGGGAGTTTATCAACGACATCAAAACTCTGTTCAAGATCTAACCAACGACTTTATGCGGACTCAATTTCAACAATGGTGTCTTGATCTTGGGCGTCGAATTTGAATGTGTAGAGATACAATGAGTAAAAAAAATTCATGTTGCAAATAAAGTATGTAAATATAATCGAAAAAGTAAGAAAAAAAAAGAAAAAAAAACATGTAAGCGATAGTTAAACATGTGGATGATTTTGTTTTATTCTAAATTGAAACATGTTTAAAATTGCACAAGATTAAAAAAAAAAACAATTTATCTTAACAATTTAATGCTTTAAATTTGTCAGACATGCATAAACACAATTGCATTAAACCAAATAATACGTTTAGTATACGTTAAAAAAAATTGCACTCTTGCATTATTGTATTACTTGCATACCCCTTAATTTTTAAATAGTGGTGAGACAATCATTTAGTGAGACAGTATGTTACATGTTTCTCTAATCCTAATGTTATTCTTCCCCTAATCATTACAATGTAGTAAATGTGCATGTAGGACTTTTGTTTGTCATTCAGTTTTACCAGGATTAATTCAATTTGATCTTTTCATTGTGTAGTTAAAATAAAATATAATAATCTATGAAAAATTAGATAAAACTCTTCATTTGTTTTTTTGATTTATTTTGTATAAAACAGTTCTAAAACAACATGATGTGAAATATTAGTTTGGAAAAGAAAACGATTTCTTATGAAAAAAAAATATTACTCCCTAAATAATGTGTTTTTTGGATTTTTCACAAATAGTAAGAAAACATATTATAAGTTGATAAATGCATTATTTTTTGTGATTTATAATTTTCTATAACCTTAAACCAATAGTATTCAATTGTTTTTCTTAAAGTTTACAATTCATCAATAACAACTAATAAATATTTTATAAAAAAACCAAAAAATTATATATCTTTTTGAAACAAATTTTTTTCTACAATATAGATTAATAAGAAACAGATGGAATAGTTTTTAAGTGAGGAAAAAATAGAAAAAATTCATGTCGCCAAAAATATATATTAAAACTTTTTACAATAATTTTTTTTTTTGGTCCTAAAATTCATGTTTCAAGAAGTGTGTTTAGATGCTACATCCTTTTAAATCTTATTTAGTATAATGATATAATTTAATGTAGTGAAAATATATTAAAAAAAATAGAAAAAATTCATGTCGCCAAAAATATATATAAAACTTTATACAATCAATTTTCAGTTATTTTTTTGTCATAAATTTCATGTTTCAAGAATTGTGTTTAGATGCTACATCCTTTTAACTATTACTTAGTATAATGATATAATTTAATATAGTGAAAATAGATAATAATGTATTTCAATTTAAGGGGAAAGACACATGTCAAAAGGAGAGGTGCCACGTGTGAGCTTCTCAAGACTTGTGTTTAGGAGAAACTTTACTTTACTATACAAGATCGTTTCATATTTCCAATCGATTACATCATGTTTCTAATATTGATTTTAAACAAAACCGTCATTTTTAACAAATGAAAATATAGAGTATCAATTTAACGATATTCATTTGGGGTTTTCACAGTATTACAAATTATAAAAATTTCATAAATAATTTAGTTGATGATTATTTCATTAAGATTCTTTATCTAAAAAGAGATTACAATGGATCTAAAAAAACTGCTGCTGCTAGGCCATCCAAACCTACTTTTCAAATCATGACCTCAATAAATAATAAGCAGACCATATGAAATATAATAATGATAATAAAAATGTTTAATAAAATTTAAAAATAAATTGGAGGGTCGGCCGAGCGAGCCAACCCTATGGGTTGTTCCAGAAATAATGTCGGCCATATGTCTTGATTTTGCCATACAGCACTCACCCTTTAACTTAGGCTGAGCGTGGCATAAATAGCCATCCGACCCTTTTTAACTTGTAACGTTGAGGCCCATCCTCTATATATAAGCCCTTCTCTGCTCTCCTTCTCTCTCGTATTCCCGATGTGGGACAAAAATTAACTACTTTTTTTGTTCTTAACCCATCATAAATCTAAAATATTTGTGTTCAGCTTAAATATACATATATGAATCATCAAACTCAAAAGAACTTGTAAATTTAATACATGATAAAATTATATTATATCTTAGCAAAATAACATTTATTATGAGAAATTTTGTTTTTGGTCTGAGTTATGACAATTACAAGTTACTCTGAGAAAAACCAGAGAAGCTTAAGATATAGAGAGACTAGGGGTTGATGAAGTACATTGCTTGACCTTGAAGGTGATAAGAGTCTTTGTACTTCTTTAGACCGCCTATATTAATCCCATTTTCCATCCATTGAGGTCTCTCAATCCAAGCCTCCCTTCCAAAGTCCAGAATTCCCAATATCTGTCTCAAATTTCAGTACATAAATACCCAAAATCAAGAGTGGTTAGAAAATAACAGATGCAAACAAAAGTATACGTACCGCTCCTCCTTTCCAAGTTACGAATGGTGGCTCTGTTCTTGATGGCAGAACCTGTACAATGTCAATGGCTTCGGTTGGAGGTATCGCGTGAAGTACTCTGTAGAGAGGGACAAAAAACATTACTTCAACAAAACATTCTGTTTGGTTCGATGAGTTCGGGTGTTGTGTATTCTTCTAGATGTTAGAAAGCAAAATGTTTGGTTAAGGAAACGAACTAACCTTTCTTCCACAGCTGATACAAGACCTTTAGTCAAACCAGCACCACCAATCTGAGAAGCCAAAAGAGAGAGAGAGTTCCAAGGTAACACATTAAGGTATGAAGAGTTACATGGTAGCACAATCTTTTAAGGAAATACATGGCGGAAACTTGAGCGTGTAAAGAAAAAGGTTTTCAGGATCTACCAATTGAATGCTGGCGAAAAGCTTTCGCCTAAGGTCTATGCGTCCTGCAAGCAAAGGAAGAAAGAAAGGATAAGGTTTTTGTTAGGTGTCGATTTTATATAAAGTAGGAGAGTGCATCACAACATATACCAGCAGAGAGAATGCTGCTTGTAATGGCTTCAGCGAGACCAATCTTCTCTTCTTTCTTTGGTTTTGAAGGGGAAAATGCAAAACTATCCCACATTGGTAATCCCATGTTACCACCACCTCCAAAGTCCATGTTCCAAGTGTCTTCCAGCATATTCTCGTGGTCTTGGAACCTAAACAATATGTTTAAAATGAGTTATCTCTCGGTCCAAAACTAAACCGAAGAAAAGCATATAAGGTCTAACTCTGACCATTGACGTGGTGCCTGGGGAAACACTTCAGGGACCAGAAGGTTAGGATAAAACAGACCCATCGGTGGAACCTGAATAGCCAAAGAAAAGATTTTCAATACTCAAAGGATAAGAGAGTATTAATGGAACAATAACTTGATCTTGTTTTCTGTTTACGTTAAGTGAGGTGAGATTTGTCTTGTGAGGCACAGCTGGCATGCCTTCTTCATAAGAATGAACAGTTGCAACAGTTTCAAGTTCTCCTGCCTGTGAATGGAAAAAGTATATGTTTCAATATTCCTTATCAAAAGAATAAAACAACAAAGATAATCCAACTAACTCTAATTTCACAAAATGACTCCTTAAGTTGATTAAGCATCAGCATATCGATTGGCTTTGCCAAAACATCTGTGTGGATTTGTGGCCACTTCTGGTAATGCCTCTGAATCCATAGAAGGCATCTACATATATCCTGAAATTATATGTATATAGAACTTTTACTATGCAATGTAGCTCAAGAGAATTTGAAAAGAGAAATGATACATATATACTTACCTCTCCTCCAAAAGGTAAAATCTTTTCAGTATTTGGCAATGAGACTCCATCCTACAAACCAAATCAAATGAACATATATAAAACAGTTATAATAACAAAATGATGTCTTCTCGTATTCTGATAATACCTCGACACAAACAACTGTACTTGTCTGGGCTCCTATATTTACAATACAAGCTGTTGACAAACCATTCCCAAAAACGGCGGATAGACCTTCTTGGTGGACAACTGCTGAGTTAAAGTGTAGCTCTCCCAATACAACAGTAAGCATTTCCTTTATTTCTGATAATACCATGTAGCCAAATCAGAATACTAGTTCACATTGATCAAGAACATATCTATATTGAACTGTGAAAAAGGCTGCAATAAGCATAACAAGCTTACCGCGGGTGTCAAATGTTTCCGGGACAACAATAACAGCATGAAACGAGTTTCTCTCTCTGTGAGTTATATGAAGTTTCTCTAACAAAATCCAGTCCAAGATAGCAGTCAAGTCCTCACAAACCTGAACAAAAAAGAAGTATCAAATAAGTAGCCAGAAAATCCCTTCTACAAAGACAGGTTGGAAGAAATATCGGAGCTATACATACCCGTTGCGCTGAATAATGTGGCGAAACATTGAAGTGACCTCTCCGAATAGGATGGTATAAACAATATGGCTCTTTTGGCGATATTGTCAAAGCTTCTTCACCAAAAATCGTCTTCCTGTACTTGCACTTACTCTCACTAGTATCTTTAGAGTCAGTAAAATCAGGAACAGCTTTAGATACACTTGCCTCACCTTTATCAGCAGAAGTTTCTGTACAATTGATGTATATAAGAAATATAAACATTGAAACCCAGCATATGTATATCCAGATAAACACCATTCCAGTACATTTTACTCAACTATATGTAACAGATACAAAATCCTAATAATGTCAATCAAAGAAAAAAACATTGTGTACCAATTGAGTAAGACAGAGAGGGAAACTGAAGCACAAGACTAATGAATTAGAATGACACCTGATGAAGCAAGAGAGATATGCTCATCCCCATACACATCAGTCCAAGTAAAGACTGCATCTTTCTTTGTCGTACTCGCTTGATTGAATCCGTCAATCCTCCCCATCTGCATAAACTTTCAAAAGTGACCAATACCATACCATACCATTTGTAACAACATTCAAGCAAAAACACTTATAATCAGTTACGCCGGGCTAGAAGAAGAACTTTCAAGCAAAAACTGACCTTGCGTGATGCAGAGCCAGAAGAAGAAGTTTCATCCAGGAACGGTATCTTCAACAGCGATGCCGCCTTTTCAGTATAAACGAACGCAAATAAAAGAAATCAATCAACACCAAGAAGTAGATTCAATTGACAGAAGCAGGAAAGTGAAACACTTACAGTATTATAAGCTCTCTCACGGTCAACATGTTGATTCGTAGTAACCTGAGTGTTAAGCATCTAGAATTTACAAAGAACACACCATTAATAAAATTCACTGAAAGAAGCACAAAGTAAATCAAAAACAAAATTGGACAAAACCTGATCAACAACAGTTGGTTTCCCAGTTTGTGTCATGTATCTAGCAATACAATTAGGGACATTGAAAGGTTTCTCATCCATAGCCAATCCTACTCTTACATTTGCAGACCCTAAAATCAAAACCAACACCAATCAGATTCCATAAACCCTAGAGCTTAAAAACCCATAATTCGAATTGAAATTTCGAATTGAGAGAGGAATCACCAAGGTTGATGACAACGAGATTAGCTCCACGTTCAGACAAAATCTGAGTCGGGGCAACAGTTTTCAAGTAATCCTGCGACGAGAGATAAGAATTGCGTTTAGGGTTTGCCATGAAAATGGTGTTACCTGTGAAAAAGGGAAAAAGATTATACCATTGGAAGCACAATTCTTTCGCTAAGTTCTTCGCAGCAGCAATTTGAAGAATTAGGGTTTTGTGGTGATACATAAAGCTTTGATCAGAGAGACAACAAACCTTAAATATATAGATAAAGTGGATTTGAGATTTTGTGGACTAGGAAGATGGGAGCAAGAAGTGAGCGGGTAACTCAAAGTTTTTGAACTGAGAAAGCCCAAATAATCTGCGGGCCGTCGCGTCGTAGGCTTGGAAATTTCGTCGAAGGTCCGCTTTCCGCTTCTTAATTAGGATCGGAATCGGAAGTTTTTGGAAGCTCGCTGCAATGGCGTTTCGGAAAATTTTACTTTGGTGGAATCTTAAGTTTATGTTTTGGAAAGTTGCGGTTCCATTTTAAAGTGCAGTGGAAAAAGTAAATAGATAAGATAGAGTTACTTTCGAGATTTTCTTCTATAATAGCGTCTCAAAACTAATAGAGTGATTTGGTATTTGTGTGGATACTAATCTTCGTATTTTATCTTTAATGTTTCTTGATTTAAAAAGTGCGGTAGAAAAAATAAACAGATAAGATAAGAGTTATTTTCGATGTTCCTTATGAAAAACTTTCCGAAATTACTTCGATTTATAATGAAATTAGGTTTTGGTTCCGATTGGTGAATTTCGTTCATATTCTTTGCCCGGCCATATTCAAAGTTATAATTCTAGTAGCCCAAAAAGGATTAGCCTATTAAATATGTCGGTTTCAAAGGGGCTAAATCCATGAACATAACTATTTTACTTACCTCAAGTAATGTTGATTGTTCTTTAAAAAGTAACTATATTGTCACACATTGAAATTTTTTAAATCTGCTTTCAATTTTTTTAGAGAAAAGTGATAAATTGAAGAAGATTGCATGTCGACCCGCAAAACCCGCAGTAACAAGAAGACTACGGTTTTCAACTTAGTTGCGGGAGAAAGAAAACTTATGTGTTTTTTGTTCACTGCAGCTTGTGTGGTACTTTGGCTTACCATTAACTTTTGGATTAACAAAACTAGAAGTAAATGTTTGGTTGTTATATCCCTTATATGCTGTTTCACATGTTTCCATACAACTTGACTATTACCGCTTTCATGGAACCAACCGAGTTCTGTTCCCATATGTTTGTCATCCCATCTCAAGGTCTCTAAGTGGAAAGAAGATAGAGAATCTGTGTCTCAGCCTCTCAGGCTTCGACATCAACACAACTCTTCTTCTCTACTTAATTTGGAATATCCGAGCTTTTAAAATTTAACGAGACACTGAATCTTTAATGGTTCTTTGTATAACTTCTGTTTTAGTTGTTTGAATTCCAAGGTCACGAAATCTGCATGGTCGAAGTTTCAAGAAATCAAAACTTCAAGATCCCCAATATCAAATCACAGTATAAGCTCATGAGCTAATCTAAGAATCCTAAAACAGAAAGAAAACCAATGTTCTAAGGAAAGATTTTGTCGGGAAAAAAGGAAAAGCCAAAGGTATTGCTTGCGGCAAAACCAGAAGATAACTAATATTGATACTAAGCAGCTTTCGGCTTAGGTGTCCTCTTCTTCAGATTTCTCTTGGAGGGTGACGAGTTCTTCATTCCAATAAAGAAGAGTAATGCTCCAAAGAGTGCAACGCTCTGCAATAACAATAGGGATGAAATTTTTATCGAGATATTGTTCATTGCGATAGACAGTATGATCTTGGCTTTAAAAGACTGAAAGGTGGTGTAAAGCTGCGTTCATTTCGATTCAACTTAGAGAGCAAACACAGTCTCCAGTTTCTTGAGATTACGATAATTGAAAATAAGTTCTGGACAAACCTGTAAGAACTCTGTCAACAGAAGTGAGAAATGACGTTCCTGCGGTCCGTAGTTGTAGAAATCATACAGAATAGGACTGACAACCACCAAGTAGAAAGCCTGAAACAAACATATTGAGATTTTAAGTGATCATACAATTGGCAAGATAAGCATGGGATGAACAAGAAGAAGCCTAACCAGAAGATAAGCACCGAAGATGTTTCCGATAACAAAGAGTAAGCCTCCGACTCCTTTCAGGGCAATAATAGTAACAACAACTTGTCTCACCTATAAAGACATATAGAGAGAGTGACCACAAGAGAAACGAACATAATAACCAGACACATTTAAAGAGTAAACACAAGAGACAAGAACATTTACCTCTATTTTGGGCAATGTTACCCCTAATCTAGAAGATAGATGTGCCTTGGCCAAATCAAGCTTTGGAGCCAATTCTTTAGCTGCAGGACCACCATCATTGAACCTATTAAAATTCCCCAAATAAGCGTTGTTAAAATTTAGTAATATGGTGAAAAGAAGTAGAGGATATTTGAGTACCATCTTAACATATATAGCTATCAAGTCAACAAATTAAAACCATAGTAACGACTAAATGAATAGTACGAGAACAATCTTATTTTACATTTATCGATCGTCTTCCATTTAGAGCTAATGATGCTACTCTCTAGACCACTATACATTGGAATAACCAAACCAATTCAACATCTAAACATATGAACAACAAAGTTAATAACATCTATAAACGAATCCAAATCTTTCACATCAACCATGACCAAAACCAACATCATACTATGATTGATAAACACAAGATACATAAATATTCAAACTTTGATTATCTAGAGATCACCAAAACCTAGAATTCAAAGTCACAATGATCCAGATCGAAACATAACAAGTATCTAAAATCAAATCTTGATAGATTTCAGCTAAAAATATTCGATTTTCACGAAACCCTAGATATTAAAACGAGCCTACAAAGCTTCTCAATTCCGAGATTTAGATCTACCCCAAAGCAATTTCCTTTTAAGAAAACCTAAATCTGAATCAAGGAAGACGAAGAAACGCGAGAAGAGATCGAGGATAGAGAAAAAGAGAAAGGCTCACATTTGCCAAGCGGAGAGGATAAAGAGAGAAGCGAAGAGAACTCTTCCAAGAAACGAGAAGAAACCCATCTCTCTGTGTTTGGTCTTTGAGAGCTCAGGCTCGCTTGTTCGTAGATTTGTCTGACGGAGACGAGGAGAATCTTCTTCGGCGAGGAGGAAAAGAGTTCGGTTCTACTGGTTTAGGTTTATTTATTGACAAATAATAAAAAAATCAATTATTGAATTTATTAAATTTTAACTCACAACGAAAAACTGAACTGCACGATCGATTCCTTTCTCCGAGAAGAATATTTACTTTTTACTTTCGACAAAAAAAAGTAAAGAACCATATTTTACTTTTAACTTGGGAATATTGGTTTAAATATAAGAACCATATTTTTAACTTGGGAATCTAGGTTTAAATATTATATGACAACCAAATTTTAATATTTTCGAGTTTATATATGATCTTCTAGAATCGTGAAACAACTACTCGATCTAGAAATTGCTAAATCAGATTTAAAATTAGGTTTAAAATCCGCGTTATGCTGTGGGATATATTTTTGATATATTTCTTAAATTGTGTTTAATTCTAATTTAGATAAAAATATTTTACTTAAGATGAATACAAAAATGTTTGGAGTTTGGAAAAAGTTCTTTAGTTTTTATTCTTGGTTACTCAAACCTCTCTGTTTTATCTAAAGAGTCACGAGCTTTCTAGAAGTAGAATATGTGAAAGTTCCTTAGTTTCTGTTCTTGATTACTCGGACTTCTCTGCCAACTACTTTCTCCCAAAATCCTTCGAACTTTGAATACTTATTAAAACAATAGGTAAATAAAACTAAACTGATAGTAAACAAAATTAAAAATAATTTACATATACAAGATAAATTGAATACAAACTAGTTATTATAATATTTTCAAGTTGGTTTTCATAAACATTTCAGAGCACTAATTTGACAAACCTTTTAGAATTCATTTTCATAAATATTTTAGAACATAATGTATTACTATGGGACTTTTATAAAAGATATATTCAAATATTTTTGGGAGGATATATTGAGAATAAAATTTTTAATTATTGTACTGAAAAATATATTTGAAAAAATTATTCGAATCAGTCTAAAGATATGATTTTTGTATCAAATCATTTGGATCTAGCTATAAAAAAAAAAAAAAAACTCGTATACTCTATTCTTCTAATTGGTTCACATCAAATATTAGATTGGATCTCGAATTTTGAATGTGTTTGCAAGTGCTATGTCAAATTAGATCATGTCTCAAGGTACAAACATATTAAAATATTGGAAAAAAAAATCTAAACTATATAACAAAATTATAATACTGTATTTTCATACGGTTTGTTTCTTTGACAGAAGATATCACACACATTATTTTACAAATGTTATTTTTCATACAATTGGAAGTCAGTCATGATTTGGGGATGTAGCTCAGATGGTAGAGCGCTCGCTTAGCATGCGAGAGGTACGGGGATCGATACCCCGCATCTCCACTTTCCAATGTTTTTCTTTTAAGAGTTTGTTTTTTTTTTTTTATTTTTAAGATTTATTTTCAATCTTCTAGACTTCTAGTTCTGTCGGAATATCTAAAAAGTCGATACTTTGAATTCCTTGCACAATTACACAACACGTCGCTCTCAATCACAGACTCACAGTCAACAAACAACTCCTACAGACACCACAAACTTCAACACTTATCTTTACTTCTGTCTTAAATTGAATCTTCCTCTTCTTCGTAAACAATAAGAAAAAAGAAAGAAAGAAAGAAACATGACAGAAGAAATCGATCGTGTGAACGAACTTACAGATTTTATCTCAACAAAGACAGGAGTCAAAGGACTCGTCGATGCGGAAATAACCAAAGTTCCTCGAATCTTCCATGTCCCTTCTTCAATCTTATCAAACAACAGACCTTTTGATATCACCGGGTTAAACCTCACCGTCCCAATCATCGACCTCGGAGATCGTAACACATCTTCAAGAAACGACGTCGTTTCGAAGATTAAAGACGCAGCTGAGAAGTGGGGATTTTTCCAAGTGATAAATCATGGTGTTCCTTTAACTGTTCTTGAAGAGATCAAAGAAAGTGTCCGTAGGTTTCATGAAGAAGATCCAGAGGTCAAGAATCAATATTTTCCTACCGATAACAACAAGAGATTTGTTTATAACAATAATTTCGATCTTTATCATTCTTCTCCTATGAATTGGAGAGACTCTTTCACTTGTTATATTGCTCCAGATCCTCCAAATCAAGAGGAAATTCCACTAGCTTGCAGGTAAATGTTAAAGTGATTAATAGTATTATACTTTTTTGTTGTGATTATGCTACTAGTGTTTACATTAGTAAACAATTTCCTTTTCTAGTGTTTTAATTCTCAGTATGATGATTTTAGGAGTGCGGTGATCGAATACACGAAGCATGTAATTGAATTGGGACCTGTGCTCTTCCAACTTCTCTCGGAAGCTTTAGGTTTAGACTCTGAGATCCTTAAGAGGATGGATTGTCTTAAGGGTTTGTTTATGGTCTGCCATTACTATCCACCTTGCCCACAACCTGACCTAACTTTGGGCATAAGTAAACACACCGATAACTCTTTCCTCACGCTTCTTCTTCAAGACCAAATCGGTGGTCTTCAAGTTCTTCATGAAGATTATTGGGTCGATGTCCCTCCTGTTCCTGGAGCTCTTGTCGTCAACATTGGTGATTTCATGCAGGTAAGTCTAGTTGATGCGTTCTCTTGACTAAAAAACAGAGTCTTTATTGGTAAATTTGAGACATTTTGTTTTGCAGCTGATAACGAACGATAAGTTCTTGAGCGTGGAGCATAGGGTACGAGCGAACAAAGATGGACCGCGGATTTCGGTTGCATGCTTCTTTAGCTCGAGTCTTTCTCCAAATTCCACGGTTTATGGACCGATAAAAGAGCTTTTGTCTGATGAAAACCCTGCAAAGTACAAAGATATCACCATACCAGAGTACACTGCAGGATACCTTGCGAACATCTTTGATGAAAAGTCGTATTTGTCTAATTACAGGATATGAAGTAAAGACTTGTCCGAATGAAAGATAGATATTTGTGTGTTTTAACCTACTTTGTCTCTGTTCTCGCTCTAGAGTTCCTAAACCATTGTACCAATAAGAAACAATGTTTTATACTTCATACCTAAAACAGCATTGTACCTAAAAATGAAAGAGAAAGGATAGTGTCTAACAGATTAACAGATTGGATTGCAAACCCTTTATCAAAAAAAATAAAAAAAATTGTGTAACAGATAGGATATAAAGACATATATACGTTATCTTTTTTTTTCAAAGTTGGAGCCATAAGAGTCAGAAGTAGACAATGACATTAGTCCAAAAGCTTCAACCTTGAAGAATCTAGCCAAATTGGCTAGTAAGAATGTTTTCACGGAAAATACTTTTTTGTTGTGATTATGCTAACTAGTGTTTACATTAGTAAACAATTTCCTTTTCTAGTGTTTTAATTCTCAATATGATCATTTTAGGAGTGTGGTGATCGAATACACGAAGCATGTAATGGAATTGGGAGCTTTGCTCTTCCAACTTCTCTCAGAAGCTTTAGGTTTAGACTCTGAGATCCTGAAGAACATGGATTGTCTTAAGGGTTTGTTTATGCTCTGTCATTACTATCCATCTTGCCCACAACCTGACCTAACTTTGGGCATAAGTAAACACACCGATAACTCTTTCCTCACGCTTCTTCTTCACTACCAAATTGGAGAAAAGTCGTATTTGTCTAATTACAGGATTACAGGATATGAAGAAAAGACTTGTCCGAGTGAAAGATAGATATTTGTGCGTTTTACATATTTTAAGCTCTAGATAGTCGTATTTGACTTAGTCTCTGTTCTCGCTCTAGAGTTCGGGAAAGTTGGTCTCAATATTAAAAGTTGGTCTCAATATTACTACATATTTCATATCCAAACATTGTTAGATATATATATATATATATATATATATCTCAAAATTTAACCAAAGTTTTTTCAAATCTAACCAATTTTTTAAAAATTTTTTTGATATTTCGGATATTCGAACACGCATAGAAGTAACCCAAACCGGATATATAAAATAATTGAATGGAACTTAGAGGCTTGTTTCACAAAAAAAAAAGGAAACTTAGAGGCTTAAACCCGAAAACCCAAACTGAACCCGAACTCCCATGCCTAGAGATTACATAATAGTTGCGCTAATTAGGGTTATAAATTTGTTTGCATAGCCCACTGAAAATTCCAATTTTTTCTCACAATTTATTGTTGAGGATTTTTTATTGAATGTTCGAGGTTGTTAATAAAGAAAAATTTAGTAATCTCCACATTACAAGCGCAAATCAACTAGTGCAAAGATACATGTTTTCATCTCTCTTATATGATTCAAGAATAAAGTTAAATCTATTTTTTGCATAGGTAATTTTTTATCATTAACTACCAACTTTTCATTTTCTAAAGTGTTATCTTTACAGGATATTAAGATAGATAGTCGTATTTGACTTAGTCTAAAGTGTTGAGGATTTTTTATTGACATAGTCTAAAGTGTTGAGGATTTTTTATTGTTGATGATTTTTAAAAATGCTCGAGGTTGTTAATAAAGACTAAAGTGTTATCTTTCAGGATATTAAGATAGATAGTCGTATTTGACTTAGTCTCTGTTCTCGCTCTAGAGTTCCGGAAAGTTGGTCTCAATATTAAAAGTTGGTCTCAATATTAAAAGTTGGTCTCAATATTACTACATATTTCATATCCAAACATTCTTAGTCATATATATATATCTCTCAAAATTTAACCAAAGTTTTTTCAAATCTAACCAATTTTTTTAATTTTTTTTGATATTTCGGATATTCGAACACGCATCGAAGTAACCCAAACCGGATATATAAAATATTCGAATGAAACTTAGAGGCTTGTTTCACAAAAAAAAAATGGGAACTTAGAAGCTTAAACCCGAAAACCCAAACCGAACCCGAACTCCCATGCCTAGAGATTACATAATAGTTGCGCTAATTAGGGTTATAAATTTGTTTGCACAGCCCACTGAAAATTCCAATCTTTTCTCACAATCTTATTGTTGAGGATTTTTTATTGAATGCTCGAGGTTGTTAATAAAGAAATATTTAGTAATCTCCACATTACAAGAGCAAATCAACTAGTGCAAAGATACATGTTTTCATCTCTCTTATGTGATTCAAGAATAAAGTTAAATCTATTTTTTGCATAGGTAATTTTTTATCATTAACTACCAATTTTTCATTTTCTAAAGTGTTATCTTTACAGAATATTAAGATAGATAGTCGTATTTGACTTAGTCTAAAGTGTTGAGGATTTTTTATTGACATATTCTAAAGTGTTGAGAATTTTTTATTGTTGAGGATTTTTTATTGAATGCTCGAGGTTGTTAATAAAGACTAAAGTGTTATCGTTCAGGATATTAAGATAGATAGTCGTATTTGACTTACTCTCTGTTCTCGCTCTAGAGTTCCGGAAAGTTGGTCTCAATATTAAAAGTTGGTCTCAATATTACTACATATTTCATATACAAACATTCTTAGTCGTTATATATATATATATATATATATATATATATATATATATATATATATATATATATATATATATATATCTCAAAATTTAACCAAAGTTTTTTCAAATCTAACCAATTTTTTAATTTTTTTTTTGATATTTCGGATATTCGAACACGCATCAAAGTAACCAAAACCGGATATATAAAATATTCGAATGGAACTTAGAGGCTTGTTTCACAAAAAAAAACAAAAAAAGGAACTTAGGGGCTTAAGCCCGAAAACCCAAACCGAACCCGAACTCCCATGCCTAGAGATTACATAATAGTTGCGCTAATTAGGGTTATAAATTTGTTTGCACAGCCCACTGAAAATTCCAATCTTTTCTCACAATCTTATTGGGGAAAAAACCCGAAAAAACTCTGGTTTATTTTTTATTTGGACGTTTAATACACAAATTTTTTTGGTTGGAAGAAAAAATACATAATAATTAAAATTTACGATTTAATACCTATAAAAATAAAATGTTGTTATTTTCATACTTACAGTTTCATAACAAAAATAAAATTCCAATTTTACCCTCACTAAAATCAACGGTCTTCTGGACTGGTATAATATTCTTCAAGTTCAGCGTTGTTCTGAAGATGATACAATCAAGAAGCAGTACAAGAACCGTGCTTTGCTTCTCCATCCTGACAAAAACAAGTTCCCCGGTGCAGATGCTGCTTTCAAGTTGTCTTGGGAAGCATACAAAGTGCTCACTGACAAGAAAAAACGGTTAGAATACGATAGAAAGTTGAAAGGATACATAATGCAGAATATATTATGTGAGGAATGTGGCGTTGAGCATATAGTCTGGATACGTAATGCAGACACGCGTATGATCCGTTCCACTTGTCAAAAATGTGCTCTACCCAAACTAGTGTATAAAGATCCTTATGGAATCGTTCGGGGACCGTTCACTGCTTCTAAAATGTTTTATTGGTATGCCATTGATGATCATTTTGGGATAGACCTAATGGTTCGCTCTGCTGGTGATCCAAACTCTCCTTTTCAAAGTCTAGGCAAATTCATGCGGGATTCGACGATAGTAAGTGTCCATGCTTCTATGAGTGCATCAGAATCTGTTTCAAGGAGTGGTCAAGCACACTCTATGGGTAAGGAAGAAAACAAGACACGAAAGCCCATTGACATTATTGATCTTGATGATTCTGATACTGTTGAGGATAATAATGAGAAAAGAAAAGATCAATCCCTGCCAACCTACATAAGCCCAAGTAAAAGAAAAGATTATGAACTTGAAGAAGAAATATAAAAAAGTTACAAGTTTTGTGACTATGGAAGAGAATGGAGAAGACGAGTCTGTATATCCTTAAGACTTTCAACTGTGGAAACAAATTTGGGGAGATGATGGTATTCTTCCATACAAGAGGAGAGGCTAGAGAAGCATGACTCACCACTGAACAAACTGGACACAGAATTGGAATTGATGTCTGGTTTGATGTAGTAGAGAGGTACTCGAATTGGCAACAAAATGACGTTAATTGTTGTTTTCTATCGATAGATCATATCTGCCATCAAAAAGTTATTCTGGGAGAGGATGATTCATACCGAGGTACTCTAATGCGTGGGTATAACAAACACAACCAAACACTTTTAACAAACACAACCAAACACTTTTAGAACATGAACACTTGTAAGTAATTTTAATAAAACAAAATATAAATATAAATTATTTTTATTCAAATAAAATTAAAATTATGAAACCGTAAGTATGAAATTGGAATTTTATTCCAAATAAAAATAAAATTAATGATTTATTCTAATTGTAAGGGTAAAATTGGAATTTTATTTTTGTTATAAAACCGTAAGTATGAAAATAACAACATTTTATTTTTATAGGTATTAAATCGTATATTTTAATTATTATGTGTTTTTTCTTTCAACCAAAAAAATTTGGGTATTAAACGTCCAAATAAAAAATAAACCAGGGGTTTTTCGGGTGTTTTCCCAATCTTATTGTTGAGGATTTTTTATTGAATGCTCGAGGTTGTTAATAAAAAAAAAATTAGTAATCTCCACATTACAAGAGCAAATCAACTAGTGCAAAGATACATGTTTTCATCTCTCTTATGTGATTCAAGAATAAAGTTAAATCTATTTTTTGTATAGGTAATTTTTTATCATTAACTACCAACTTTTCATTTTCTAAAGTGTTATCTTTACAGTAATATGGAAAAAATAGTAAACACCATGACAGAAGAATTTTAGAACACCACTAATGAAATACTCAGGTATGTCAAAGTATATTAGTTGAGATGTATTTTACTTACTTAACCACAATTAAATATCACTATCATTGAATGCTCATAGCGAATTCAATTTGCAGATTAGAGTACTACAAAAGGTTTGATATTTTATTAATTGAAAATAATTAAAAAAGTTTCAATTTTGTAAATCTCTTGTACACACATTCTCGTTGTTGGATGGTCAAATTTCATTGTTGCTTTAATTTTTTTGTCAACCAGACATTAATTAAAAAGTCACTCCATGATTGGTAGCCCAATTTCATTGTTGCTTTAATGTTTTGAAGTTTTAAAATCATCAATCGCATTTGGAGTGTT